GCCCCTCCTCTGAACTGCTGAGTGGCTAGAGGCCCTGAGCAGGATGAATTCCCTGCTTCTCTGCCAGCTCTGTCTTGGGGCGGACACTGAGCGCCTTCCCTGATAGGACACTCCAAGTGTGCTGAAACTTCTCCTCCCAATTCACCCATAAAAGACTGTGTCCAACTCTCAGCCGGAGTCAGAGATTCAGAGTATTAATTCCTCTATGCCAGCCAGTGTAATAAAGAGTTCTCCTTTCTCTCCTGAGTGCTGTTTTTTGTTCATCAGCGTCTGTTTTTCTACAACAAAATCATCACCCCTGTGGCCCCTTTGATACCATCTGTGAGGGACTTCTGGCAGCCATAGAGGTGATCAAATTTGCTTGTGGTGACAAGCAAGCAGGCACCTTCAGGATCTGTTATGAAAGTTGTGGATCCCAGTAATGATCTCTTTGGAGATGTCTCCCTGTCTGACAGGAGTTACAGGCACTTGATATGGATGAGGTTGCTGAGGCCATCGCTGTGGCCCAGAATCACACTGAGGGGTCCATCCTAGAAGTCTCACAGGCACTCCTCCTCAATTTCACCCTTCCAGATGTACACTGGAATGCCAGCCCTGGCATTGGCAGCTGCCCATGGTTCTGGGTGGAGAAGAAGCTGCAGCTGGGCTACTCTGCCTCAGCATCCAGGGCAAACAGGGCTCAATGAGGGCAGTGGTCTGCATAGTCATGTGCAGGCAGCCAGGGAGTGAGCATCCTTCAGTGGCTGGGAGGCCAAGGACATAGCCATGTGCATCAGGCCTGCATCTCCTCTGCTGAGTCTAGGGCCTGCCACTTAGGCAGCCAGGAGATGGTCACAACTTTTAGGCAGCTTGTCATACCTGATGGCAATATGTTCACACATTGGCAAAAGGGGTTAGCCTAGGAATGGGGACAGGTACCTGGCTCGTGGTGTTGAGCAAGGCAGAAAACTAATTGATTAAAGCCAACTAGTAAGTGACAGACACCCAAAATGGCACACAAACACTAACGACATTCCAAATGAATAATATAACCAAATGAATGGGGTGTGGGGATGAAAATGAACTTAACTAGCAAACAGCAGTTTGATAGTGTAAGGAAGGCTCAAGGCTAAAAGAAGCATATAAAAGAAAAATAGTGTCATCTTCTTAGTAAATCTGTTTCTCATAGCGGTATAAGTCGGCAGTGTGGAAATTCCTACATGTACAGCCACTCTTCACTTGACCTGCCTGTTTAATAACTGCTGGGACTCACCACTTCTCCAGCTGGGGAAATCCCCTTTCTCAGTCTGTGTGAGTCTTCGGAACCTCCTTTGAGGCATTTATGGCAAGCCAAGGATGGTTTCAATGGCTTCATTGAAGATTCAACCTGCATAATTGGAGTATCAGTGGTGAGGCTGATGGGGATCCTGCGCTAAAAGCAGCTTGCAGAATGTTTCTGCTCCACCTTTTAAGTTGCCTGCTGGGAAATGCATAAGCTGGCTTGCAGCTATTTTGCAACGTTTCCAGTTTCCTTCGTCTGTAACATCTGTGACCCAGAGTATATTTTATAATTTATCCAAATCCAAATGCAACCAGGGCCAGACTGTGGAGTACAAGCTTCTCTGGATCCACTGGTGTAATTAACCTGAGGTTTCCTACTCTCTGAATGGTGCTTGGTTTCTTGGAGTTCTGTTTTCTGCAACAAGGCAGCAAACACTGAGGTAGAAGTAGTGGAAAATTTTGTTGATCAATTTTAATACAATTATTGAGAAAGGGGGACCAGCAATTGGCATAAGGCTATGTCGCTGGACTCCCATGTAGTCGACTGTGGTTCAAGTCCCAGACCTGTGGCTTAAACTCACACTGGGCACACATGCGTGTGTGCCCAAGATCCCGAGAAGAGAATGGTGGAGATGGGATTGTGGCATGGTCGTCCCCCCTGGGAGGTAATTTCTCACTTCTGTCTATCTCTCTCTGGCTTTCTGGTGAGTGAGCGTGCCCTGTAGCAAAAACCTCTCATACATAAATAAATAAATAAATAAATAAATAAATAAATAAGAAAGGCAGCTGCCACCCAAAACAGAACTTCAGTGTGAATGAAACTGGGCTTTTGGGGGGAGAAAAAAATGCCCAAAAGTTCCTACTTATACAAAGAAGCTAAAATAATGCCTGATTGTAAGGTGTTTAAACACAGAGTTGCTTTAGTGTTGGAAGGAAATGTTGAGAGAGAGATAACTAACGAAGATTGTTTGAAAAACTGGTGAAATCCTAGGAAGGTCTGGAGATTACTGATGGTATTACCTCAATGCCAAATTCCTGGTTTTGATCATGGTACCGTGCTTATGTAAGACACTGACATTAGAGGACACTGAGTGGAGGGCATTTGGAAACTCCGTGCCCGCTCTGCAACTTTCCTGTGATATAAATAATTGTCTGAAATGCTTAAAAGATACACAGTAAATGATGTATTTATGACGTAAGGTGATATCTGTGATTTACTTGAAATATTGCTGACAATTGTTGTAGCAAGCTAATGGGTACATCAAGGCCTGTTACACTCTTCTCCCTACACTTATATGAAGGGACTTCAAAAATTTCATTGAAAATGGGGACCAGCAGTTAGCATAATGGCTATGTCGCTGGACTCCCATGTAGTCGACCGTGGTTTGAGTCCCAGACCCGGTGGCTTAAACTCATGCCAGGTGCATGTGCATGCTTGCCCAAGATCCAGAGAGGAGAATGGAGGAGAAGGGATTGTGGCATGACCATCTCCCCTTGGGGGGGTTGATTTCTTGCTTTCTGCCTCTCTCTGTCTTTCTGGTGAGCACACTCTCCTAGCAAAAAACCTCTCCAAAAATTTCATTCAATTTCATTGAAAATGAAATGAAAGCACGTTGGTACAAAAAAATTTAAACCCAAGCATAGTTTTTTCATAATGTGCACTTCTCATCAATTTTTTTTTTTTTTTGGAGAAGTTTTTGCTATAGGGCACGTGCGCTCGCCAGACAGACAGAGAGAGACAGAGAGACAGAAAGCGAGAAACCACCCCCCAGAGGGGATGGTCACGCCACAATCCCTTCTCCTCCATTCTCCTCTCGGGATCTTGGGCACGCACACACACGCGCCCGGCGTGAGTTTTAAGCCACCGGGTGCGGGACGCGAACCGCGGTCGACTACGTTGGAGTCCAGCGACATAGCCATCACGCTAACTGCTGGTTCCCTCATCAACTTTTTGAAGATTGCTCGTATATGTTAGAACATGTCTATTAGAAAAAGAAATGATAGGGCTGGCCAGTGGTCTGGTGGTTAAGACGGCTGGATCCCACACGGCTGAATCCCACACAGCTGACTTTGTGGTTTGAGTCCTGGGCCCTGGAACTTGAGAAACATGCTGGCGTCATGTATGTGTGCACTCAAAATCCAGAGAGAAGACTAGAGAAGAAAAGATTGCCATCCCCCGGGAAATAATTTCTCACTTTTCCTCTCTCTCTTTCTGTCTCTCTCTCTGGTGAATGCATGCACCCCCTACAGAAAAACTAAAACAAAAGAAAAAGAAATTACATATATGTATATTTATTAAGCCTCTTTGTTTTTCGAGAGATTTTTCACTCTCCAGAGAGAGACAGACAAAAAGTGAGAAATCATCCCCCAGGGGGGATGGCCATGCTGCAATCATTTCTCCTTCATTCTCTTCTTGGGATTCAGGGCATGCACGCACATGTGCCCAGAGTGAATTTTAAGCTGCCGGGTTTGGGATTCAAACCGCAGTTGACTACGTGGAATTCCAGCAATGTAACCATTATACTATCTGCTGGTCCCATTAAGCCTCTTCTATGTACTGAGCACTGTGGTCAGTCATGGGGGCTACACAGTTCTGCTCTCAAGGAGCTCAGTCAACAGGGGAAAGTAGACACTCAACACAGGATGTTCGAAGAGTGACGAGATAGAGAAAGCACAGGATGCCTGGAAGCAGGGGAGAGCATGCCCACATAGACGAGAAACAGTACGAGCAAGAGCCTTGGGCTGGAAAGAAAGACTGAGGTGCTGCTAAGAAGAAAAAGATCTGCAAATGACCCCATGAAACATGGCCAAAGGCTTCCTACCCCAGGCTGGCACAACTCAGCCAGATTCCTTGGGTCCCTAGAACTTTGTAGCAGTATTCATAATATTTTTTATGAATTCATTTAAGTTATTTATTTATTCAATGAGTGAGAGAAACTGACAGATAGGCAGAGAGAGCCCCTTCCCCTCCCCCCAACAGGGTCCTTATGCCATAATGTACTTCTGGGCTTCAGCCAGCTCCAGATCCTAGGTGTGTTTGTACTGGGTGTAGCCACACAGGTCTCTGGACAAGAACTGAGAACTTTCTCATGTGGGACTGTCTTGAAGAATAGTGTGATTTACCACTGTACCCCCAACTCTGTCTCGCAGGCAAATTTAAATGGTGATCTCCATATTCTATCAGGCCCTTTTTCTAACACTATTCTCTGATGACACTCTCCTCTCAGCTGCCACAAGTTTTTCTCATCAGTCTTCTTTTTTTGGAGAGGTTTTGGCTATAGGGCGCATGCGCTCGCCAAAAAAAGAGAGACAGAAAGCGAGAAGTCTCCCTCTAGGGTGAGAAACCACCCTCTATTCTCCTCTCAGGATCCTGGGCAAGCACACACATGTGCCTGGCGTGAGTTTAAGCCACTGGGTCTGGGACTCAAACCGTGGTCTACTACATGGGAGTCCAGTGATGTAGCCATTACGCCATCTGCTGGATCTTCTCGTGGGTCTTAAAAGCGCACAGTCTATTTAATGAAAACCTCTGTAAGCAGTGTTCAAAGAAGCCTGGTTCCCAGTGACATTCTGAAGGCTGTTAAATACACCTAAATTTCTTTTTTTGTACATTTATGGGTAACATGGAAACGGAGTATTGTTAATTTGTCATTTTCTTTCCAGTCTAGCATGAACTCTGAAACCTTGAAAGCTGTGGGAGTGGTTGTTCCCTGTTTGGATCCCACCCCCTTAGTGAGGCAGGACTTTAATACTAAAGCAGCTAACAGTACTCACCAGGAGTTGGCATTGAGGAGCTGAGCAGAGGCAGCTTCAACTTTATTTAGGTTGGTACTGACCTTCTAAATCTTGTAAGTATTTTCATGCCTGTTTCACTAGGGAAATGTTTTTCAATGTGTTACTTTGTATGAGTACTGCATGTTCTTATTGTGCCTTCTTTGTGATCAGGATACAATTCATTGTTTATTAGTTCCCGAAGAGTGTCTTTAAGGAAAAAATAATACTTGAGACTTTAGAAAGGGGCACACAGTGGTGCCCTGGTAAAATGAGACGCTCTGCAAGGCAGACCCACGGGGGAAGACTGCCAGTTTGCATCCCCAGACTGACTGAGTACTATGTGCACATACGTGCCCGTGATCCAAGCAGACAGGCTGGGATGAGTTGTGGTGTCAGGACCCTGTTGGGAGTACTGTCTCTTTGTCTCTCTCTCTCACTAATGGAATAAACTTTTTAAAAGAATTTAGAAAAGAAAGGCATGCAAGCAGATGGCATAGTAGTTACAGTGGCGGACTCCCACATGGCTGACTGCAGGTGAAGTCCCAGTCCAGGATGCTTAAACTCACACTGGGTCCATGTGCGTGTGTGCCCACAGTCCCAGGAGGAGAATGGAAAAGAAGGGATTGTGGAATGGCCATCCCCCCTCGGGGATGATTTCTCTTTCTCTTTCTCTGTCTCTGTCTGTGTCTCCAGTGAGCTTGTGTACCCAATAGCAACATTTCTCTCCAAAAAAGAAAGAAAAGGACAATTTATGGTATGAGAAAAATAAAAGTAGTATCATTTTGAGGAATTTGAGGATACAACCACACCAGTGCCAGGAGGCATGTAGGAGCTTACACTATAATTATTTTCTCTCTTCAATAGCAAAATTTCTCTCCAAAAAAGAAAGAAAAGAAGGACAATTTATGGTATGAGCAATTTGAGGATACAACCACACCAGTGCCAGGAGGCATGTAGGAGCTTACACTATAATTATTTTCTCTCTTCAAAAAGATGCATTAATGTGATTCATACATGAGTCAACGCTTATCTTGGATTTCAATTTGGCAGGGGCCACACACCTGGGGCCTCAGCTGAGCAATTCAAGAAAAGGTACCATGAGTGGCTGGATGCTCTGTGCCCTTCTAGTGAGCCCCTCCACTTGGGAATCATGAGTGCCAGTCAGAATCTAAATAGACACTTGCATAAGCAATTTCATATGCATTGCCTTAGTGTCTGCAGAGTTACTTTGTGACTGGGCAGAAAGTAGCTGGCTATTTTCCTTATTCTACTTTTCCTTGTCCTTACTTATCTAATTCTTCTTTCCTTTCTCTTTGTACCCTCCTCCTCCTCTCTATCCTGCTGTAACTTTTTGCCCTCCTTCTTCTTCCTCCTCCTTCTCCTCATCCAGTATTGCTGGGGCCAAAGAATGAGCAAGGTTTAAAGACGAAATTTGAAGTGAATCTCAACGTAGAGGACTTTTAGGGTAGTATGGCAAGTGGATCTCGATTTACTTCGTAAGCAAACTTAAGAACAATTATACCTGCTCTTGAGCCATGTTCCCGGTACAAGCGAGGCTTTGCAAATTCCTTCTATGTGCCAAATTAAATATTCCACTGGACTACACTACTGTAGCACTTACTCAATGTTTTTGGCATAGTCATTATGTTTGTACTCTGTGGGAGAGTCCCATTGCTTTGATAAAACTATTTAATAGCTGACTGGCAAGTTGCATAATCAGGATTGATTGTTTTATTCCATCATCCTAGCTTGTAACTTAATTACTCTATAGTACTGTATTCTAAGGCAGGCCCTATGTGGGAAATACTTTAAAAAACGTTTGACTTTTGAGGTATCTAGCCATGTCACACCCTGTGGAGTATGGAGTGAATCGAGCAATGTACCATGCTTCAAGGTTGCGACAACTTCTCTGCCTCCTGGGAGCTCACCATTTCGTATTGGTGGGGAGAGTAGATGGGGCAGCACAGAAATGGTCATCTTTGCAGGCCTTGAAAAGTCACTAAGATAGAACAGGAAGAAATTCACCTGAATATCAGAAAAACTAGGTTCTATTAGGGACTATATCACTAATTCTCTAGTTGCAAAGCACACTCTACGATTCGAAGCATTCATCACCAACTTGGAGGAAGGCCTAGCCTCCTATTTGCCCTGTAAATTAGGAAGCCTAGCTACATCAGTGGTATGTGTAAGTTTGTATGAGGAACATTAGGTCTCCAAGGAGGAAGTAACATCAGAGTCAAAAGTGCCCTGAGATAATCACCAACATAAGAAGAATAAAACAAAGATCTTCTACAGGAAAGCTTTGAAATCTCAGAGACCCTGTGAGAAGTTACATTGCTGTTGGAGCTAAGGCAAAACATAATTCATTTGGAAAAAAACATACTGCTCAGAAGTGCTACTCAGACCTCACTAATAGGTCACAATCCAGAGTTGCAAAATCCTGCTCTAGAGGAGCTCTAAGACTTCAGTGCCAAATAAAAGTGTATCTGAATGGTAGGTTCACCATGTCACGTGACCTCTGTAGAGAACAATTTCCTCAACTGAAAACTTTGAATAATAACAGCATCTGTATCCAACAATCTCTATGAAGATTAAATGAGGGAAAAAATGAGAAATTTCCAATTAGGTGGTAGATAACTGACTGGACGCTATATAATGTTCATGGAAAAACTAACCTTTTTCTAGATTGTAAAAAAAATCACTCAGCAGTAGGAAAATACAGAATTCCAATAGAAAGAAATAAATGATCACCTTCTCCTGTGGAGAGAATTGAGGTTTTGACTACAGTTGGGGCAAGACTAAGCCCCAGTTACTGCCTTTGAGCACTGCAGCAAAACAGCCAGAGAGCTAAGAGTGACTTCCCCCAACCCCCACCTCTCTGACAGTGACAGCTTCTCATTTCAAGGCTGCTCCCAGGCTCCCAGGGTCTTCACCTGTGTGGGATCCAGGCTGCATTATTTAGGTTCTCAAAGTAATGACAAATGCAACACAAGATTAGTTGGGTATAATTTCACAGTAGTGGCCACTGGTGGGTGGGAATTTGGGCCAAGATGGACCTTTCTAGGATCCCCCCATCCCAGCCATGAAGAAGGCAGGCACTCCTTCTGCATTGCTGATATGGTTCAACAAAGTACATTTTGCTTCTGTGGACTTATTTACTCATCCATTCATTCCTATTTAGAGAAACTAAGAGACCACCAACATGGCAGCGAAGCCCAAGCTTCACTACTTCAACGGACGGGGTCGAATGGAGTGTATCCGGTGGCTCTTAGCAGCAGCTGGAGTAGAGGTAGGTTCTCAGTTAGGAAATCTTAAGTCGAATCTAAAACTGATTATATCAAAATACTTCCCTGAGTCAGGATGCTTCCATACTAGAGAATCTGTGAATAGGTTTGCCTTAAATTAAAATATTACCAGTTATTGGGATGAGCAGATGGCATAATAGTTGTATCACTGGACTCCCACATAGCCAACTGCAGTTCGAGTCTTGAACCCAGTGGCATGAAACTCATGCCGGGCACATATACATGCGTCCCCAAAAATCCCATAAGAAGAATGAAGGAGAAGGGATTGCAGCATCCTCATCTTCCAGGGGATGATCTCTCACTTTCTATCTGTTTCTTTCTGTCTTTCCAGTGAGCACATGCCCTATAGAAAAAAATCTCTCTAAAAATAATAATAATTAATAAAAGAATTAAAATTACTTTAACATTACCGTTTATTTCATTTAGTTTTGAATTCCGATCTTTTCCTGGGCTAGTGTTATGATATTCTTGACACTGGACATCAACAGCTCCCAGTCAGCCTCACAGCTATGGGTAAACAACTAAAGCTCCTCAGTGAACATTATTCAATACATTATATGAGTTACTCAGTTTTCTAATAAAATAGGCTTTGTGTTAAGAGATCTTGCCCAACTCTAGGCTGTGTAGGAATCACGAGCACATTTAAAGCAAGTGAGGCCAAGTTACGACATTTAATAGCTTAGATGTATTAAATGCAGTTTTGACTTATATCTTCTACTTATGATGGGTTTATCAGGACTTAGCCCAGAGTCACTTGAGGAACTTGAGTATTAACCACCTGTGAAGGTGAATAGGGAGTGGATTACTGCAGACTGCCTGTTAAACACTGAATACACCCATTAGCAATGATTTGGTTGAGCACCTATTGGGCCAAGGTGGGCCTATTAAGTGTCAGGTTCTGTGCTAAGTCCTAGGGATCCAGAGTGAGCAGGACAGACGTGGTCCCTGCTTCATGCAGCCTCATACCTATGAGGATGGAGGGAAGTAAACAAGTGATTAAGGTGAGGTTAGAAGCATCTGGGGAAACACAGAAGCATCTGACAGCGTTAAAAGACAATTCTTCCTTGCGTTTAAATAAAAAATGCTGGTAGGTTTCTGTGTGACTGCTGGGGTGCTGCCCTCTAGCGGTGTCACAGAAAAGACGTCTCATTCCAGACCAGAGACACCCAGCAACCCCAGGGGGTTTTACTGGGGAGCCAGCCCTGGACCTCTCCAAAAAGTTTGTCGACTGGGAGCAAAAGAGGAGAGTTCAGTTTGAGCTGGAGTTCCATGAAGGGAAATTCTAGTGTGCTCTCTTTAGCCTCAAGGAAATGTTTGTCAGCCAACCAGGTGGTATGGTGGTTAAAATGCTAGATCCTACATGGCTGACTGCACAGTTCGAGTCCTGGACCCTGTAAAACACACCAGGCGCACGTGCATGCATGCCCAAAATCCTAAGAATGGTGGATTAGGGATTGTGGTGTGGCCATCCCCTCTGTGGGGGTGATTTGTCACTTCCCTTCTCTCTGTGTCTCTCTCTCACCAGTGAACGTATATGCCCCATGGCAGAAATCTAAAAAAAACTCACCAGTGAATGTATATGCCCCATGGCAGAAATCTAAAAAAAAAAAAAAAAGAAGAAGAAAAAAGAAAAGAAAAATACAGCATGTTCACCTAAGCCTTGGAATTATACTTTCTTGATTGCTTCATGAATGCATGAGACTTTAGCCTGATCTTTCTCAATTTTATGAACAAATAAAAAAAAAATCACCAAAGGGCAATTCTAGGTTGTTTTCTTTCTACAAATGAATAACCCATTTTTAGGGTCATTGAGACTCAAGCTTGGCAGTTCAAGGATTTGTTTAGAGGCCCTGGGCAGGACGAGTTCAGCCTAGAGGATGAAGTAGGGATGATGCTTAGAGCATGCCAGGCTTGCTCTTTTTTTCCCAGCTAAAGAGGCTGATAGGACAAGGACTGGCTGGACACCCTTGCTTAGGGCTCTGCATTCTCTAGGCCCAAGAGCTGTCCTTAAAACCCCAACCTTGCAAGAAGCATCACCCTCGCCAATCCCATCCTACTTCAGCCGCCTTACTGTGATGACCATCCTCCATTCCTTATGCTTGTCTTGAACGGACACTGCATAGATTCCCAGCACACAGCACTTAAAGAGCATATGAGGCATCATGGAAATCAACGACGTGTCCTACAAAGCGAGTCAGAAACCTAAAACTTCCTGGGTTTATGATTCAGAATTTCTATTAAACTAAAAAACGGAATGGAATAACATAAGTCACTGCAAGGCTCCTTGGTGGCAGATTCTTTTTTTTTTCTAGAGATTTTTGCTATAGGGCACGTGTGCTCGCCAGACAGACAGAGAGAGACAGAGTGACAGAAAGTGAGAAATCACCCCCCAGTGGGGATGGCCATGCTGTAATCCCTTCTCCTCCGTTCTCCTCTCGGGATCTTGGGCACGCACGCACACGCACCTGGCGTGAGATTTTTAAGCCACCGGGTCTGGGATGCGAACCGCAGTTGACTATGTGGGAGTCCAGCGACATAGCCATTACGCTAACTGCTGGTCCCAGATTCTTTGATGGGTGTTGACCCAACGTATACTCCAGGGTGGGGACACAGAAGGTTCTGTTCTGATCTCACATGGAGACACAGACTTTTCTGAGACTGTAAAACTCCATGCGAGGTCTTCCAAATCCCTTCCCTGTAGTGACATCCCCTGTCAAATTATGACCTTACCACAGGCATCTGTGGGGTCTGGATGGAGATGAAATGAACCTATAAGAATGAGCAGCTCTGTGCTGGGGTCCCTGCCCTTTTCTTGATAGGGCTAAACTAAATTTCCAAATGATTAGACTCCTCCGTGTACTCTGCCAAATACAAAAATCTTACATTTTCTATATTATGAGCCATTCAACTTAATATTTGTTTATTTATTCTTCCATAAGTCAGAGAGAGAGAGAGAGAGAGAGAGAGAGAGAGAGAGAGAGAACCAGTACATCTAACAGGGCACTGATGTAGTGATACCCCCCTAACTTTTGCCAGCCTTGGATCATAGGCATGCATGTGCCTGGCATAATTAGGAGATCTCTGGAGGTGAGTTTTGTTTTTGTTATTTTATTTATTATTTTTTAAAATTTATTTTGGGGCTGGCAGGTGGCATGGTGGTTAAGGGCTCTGGAATCCCACTTGGCCCATCGCAGTTTGAGTCCTGGACCTGGTGGCTTGCTTTCTCACTCTTCCTACCCCCAGTCCCTCTTTGGTATAATTGAAATAAATAAATAAAGACATAAATAAAGTTAAATAAAAATAATTCTAAAAAAATTAAAAATAAATAACTATATTTCCATGTCATCCTGTTTTACTGCTGCATCACTATCCAGTCCTGATCTATGTCTGTTCTTGATGGGTCTAATCTAAATTTCCAAATGGCCATGAATAGACTCTTCTGTGAACCACCAAATGCACAAATCCTACTTTCTCTGCCTGGCTGTGGTGCAGGCAGTAGGGACAGAGCTGTGAGATGTTGAAGCCATGCGAGAAGGCCCAGGTTTGTGTCCCAGAGTCTACTTCAGCATGCTGGTGTGTCCATGGGTATGCCTGGCTGTCCTCAGGGCTGGGAGGATCGCGCTGAGAGGACCTTGTTGATGGTGACTGTTTCTCTCTTTCTCTGGAAATGCATAAGTTAAAAATGAAAAGAAAAGAAGAAAAGGAAATCTTACTTTTACCATTGTATATATCATATGGTGGTCATTCAAGTTTAGAACTCTAGGATTTTATAGAATGAACTAATAAGAACTTATTTCTGCTTCCAGTTTGAAGAGAAATTTATAGAATCTCCAGAAGATTTGGAAAAGTTAAAAAAAGGTAAGACCAAGTACCCAAATGCTGCCTGAGGAGGGCATGCAGTGGAGGATATAAGTTAAGCTTTTATCACCAGGCATTGCCTACGTGTTTGTACGGTGGGAGATGGGATGGTGTAAAAGGAGGAAAATGGTTAAAATACAGGGGCTGGGGCTCTTTGAGCAGGTCTGGCAACCTTTTAGGGATAAGAAGGGCTAGGCCTCTCTGAGTATTGCCTGAGGTGCCCTGTGAAGGCTCAGTGCCCTAGGCCTAGCCTCTCCCCATATTCTCATGCTTTCTGTACTGAGAACACACTGTGATCAGCCTAGGATCCCACACTGCCCTCCTCATCCAAGAACACTCTAGGACATGCAGTAGATGAGAAGAGTAGGCATGGGCCTGCCAGTGATCTTGCATCCTTTTCTCTTATTGACTCAGACAATGAAATGGTGTTGAGTTGGTTGAAAGTGCAGGTGAGTGTGAGAGGAGGGATATAAAGAGCTAGGACCGGCAGCCCTGAGGTCAGGAACATGAGGCCTGCCATGCACATGCTATGCAGTGGTATTACTTGACAAGCACAAAAGGGTCTACAGAGAAACCTCTTTTAGAACCGAACTTCGTGTCATGAACAACATGAGATTTATTTAGAGAACTTTCTGTTTAAAATGTCATTGAGGGGATGGGTATACAGCAGATGGTACAGTGGTTACATTGCTGGACTCCCACACAGCCGGCCACAATTCAAGTTTCCAATCCAGTGTCTTGAAAATCACACCAGGCATGTGTGTGTGTGTGTGTGTGTGTGTGTGTGTGTGTGCCCAAGATCCCAGGAGTAGAATGGAGGAGAGGGATTGCTACATGGCCATCCTCCCAGGGGGTGATTTCTCACTTTCCCTCTCACTGTCTCTGTCTCTCCCTGGTGAGCACACACACCCTAAGGCAAAAACCTCTTAAAAAAAAAAAATCTAGGAGCCAGCAGATGGTGTAGTGGCTATGTCACTGGACTACCGCAAGGTCAATCATGGTTAGAGTACTGGACCCGGTGGCTTGAAAATCACACAGGGCACATGTGTGGGCATGCTCAAGATTCCAGGAGAAGAATGGATTGTAGTATGGCCAACTCTTCTGGGGGGTGATTTCTCACTTGGCCTCTCATTATCTCTGTCTTTCTCTCTGGTGCATACACACACCCAAAGGCAAAACTCTCTCAAAAAGGAAAAAAAAAAAAGAAGAAAAGAAAAGACATCTGGCTGGCTACTCTGTTGTAGCCTCCCAACTTCTCCTCAAAATATTCATGGAGCTAAATCAACACAAAAAATATAGGGACCTACCAAGCATCTAGATGGGAAATAAAAATATAAATGAAAAATTAAAAGGATGCTTAATTTAAAAAAGACTACAGAAAGCCAAAATCAAACTGCTATTAACATTTCAGTTGAAAGATTAGTAGGTTACAACTTTGCTTCATTTTTTTTTATCTTCAATCATTTCAACAAAAATTTCTGTGCTTTGAAGAAGTAGAACCCAGAAACATTTTATTTTCCTCTTTCTTTTCTTCTTTCAAAAGATGGGAGTTTGATGTTCCAGCAAGTGCCAATGGTTGAGATCGATGGGATGAAGATGGTGCAGACCAGAGCCATTCTCAACTACATCGCCACCAAATACAACCTCTATGGCAAAGACATGAAGGAGAGAGCCCTGTACGGTACATTTTCTGTTCTTACAGCAACAGATAATCCAGGAATATTTCTGGAAATATGTGATCCTCCCTTGAGTGAGCAGGATATGATAGGGGGACCCTGACCAGCAACCATGTGGGTCTTGGCCAGGTACATAGAGGTCCAGTGTCCCACAGTCCAATAGAGATGAGAAAAGAGTACACTTGGGGGTGGATTCAGGTCAGTGTAACTGTGGAAAAGGATGAAGTCCATGGATATAGCATTGTGACAGAGGTTTCCAAACACTGATGAAATATGAATTCAGGATGATGGAGGAATCATGACTCTAGAGACTCAGGCCTTTAGATGCTAGACTCCAGACAATAGCTTGGAACAACAGACAAAGTGTTTGAGTGTCTAGAAGAGAAGGTCTGGGAAGGGAAGGACCCTAAAGAGTTAATTCTTGGGCTGACCTATGGCCTATGGGCTAAGGGAGCAAGATCCCACATGGATGACCACCATTCAAGTTCCAGCCCTGGGGACTTGAAAAACATGCTGTGTATGTGTGCCTATGTGCCCCAAATCTTGGGATGAAGAAGAAATGAAAGAGAAGGGTTGGTGGTATGACCACACTCGACTGGGTGTTCTTTCCCCTTCTCCTCCTCTCTTTCTCTTCATTTATCTCTCTGGGGAGCATATATGCCTTGTAGCAATTAAAAAACAAACAAACAAACAAAAACAAGAAAGCTATCTCCTACTTTCCAGAAATTGCAAGAGTGATGAACAGCAGCCAAAGTTATACAAGCTGGCCAACTCAACAAGATTGAGTAGAGGCTAGTGCCCCAGATATTTGGGTTATCTTGAGAATCTTGATACATACTTTAGGCATCCAGGGTTATTCAATATCATCAAACCTGAGGCTTTCTTCACTTGTGTGGTAGGACTGCATGACTGAAAATTAAATCTTATATGAAACTTTTGGCAATTCCACAAAATTTAAATAGAGAGTTATCAATGGCTCAGCAATTTCACTCTTATGTATATCCCCCCAAAATAAAATATACATCTACATTAAGTGTTGTACAGAAATGTATCATGCAAATAACAATATTATTTCAAAATATTAAAGAGGGGGAAATATCCCAAATATCTGTTAGTGGATGAATGGTGGGACAAAATGTGCTATAGTAATACAATGAAATATTATTCGGTCATAGAAAGGAACAAAATCTTGATGCATCCTTTGACATGGATGAACTTTGAAAATATGATATGTAAGAGAAATGAGACAGAGAATGGCAAATAATGTAGAATGACTTTTTTATAAACATCAAGAATATTTAAAGAGAAAGAAAGTAGATTAGAGGTGGACTAGGACTGGAGTAGAAGAGTTGGGAAGGGAATTAAGGATGGTAATTGGAGCCAGTAGGTGACGTGGTGACGAAGGCACTGTACTCTTACATGAATGACCATGGTTTGAGTCCTGGACCTGGCAGCTTGCTTTCTCACTTTCCCTCTGTCTCTCTCTGATGACTATAGCAAGTTAATAATAATAATAATAATAAATTAAATAAACAATTCTTTTAAAAAATATCTGGAAATGGGTACAAAGCTATTATTTTTAAAAAGTATTGAGGAGGGGCCAGCAGGTGGCATGGTGGTAAAGGCACTGGTTTCCTGGACCCAGCAGCTTGAAAACCATGCCAGGCACATGCGCATGCATGCCTAAAATCCTGACAGGAAGGATTGTGGCATGGTTATCCCCTCTAGGGGGATGATTTCTTGCTTTCCTTCTCTCCGTCTCTCTATTTCTCTCTGGTGAATGTGAGAGCCTTATGGCAAAAGCCCAAAAAACAGAAGTATTGTGGAAAATTCAGTTTAAAACAAATTAGAAAGGTATTCTATAACATAAACTGGCTGTAACTGTACAAAGTAATGCACCAACTAAGGAGATATTTTAGGCAGCATTTCAAGAAATAGAAACAAGGCCTATGTTGGGCAATAGCCCATGGAGAAGATGTGGAATTGTGTTTCATGGGTAATAATTGGAAGAACTTATATTAGGCATCAAAATGGGTCTGGGATATGCAACAAGATGTGAGAGGCAGTGCACCATGTCTGAATTCCTGTCCCAGAGACTCTCTCTTGAGGTTACTGAGGTGGCTCTTTGGCCACATGAAGTGTTTGCGCAGAACAAGCCACAGTCGAACTACAAACTCCACTGTCATATTACTGGCAGTGATTGCGCCACTTTCTCTGATGACTGTGACTCTGAACAGGTCACCGATGCTCTTTGTATCTATGTTTAGTTATATGTATAACAAAACTTTTTAGACATATATCTACCCTGATATGTTATTCTAAGAAATACATGTTCATATGTAAGTAAAAATTATAGCATAATTGATCTGGCACATAAAAGTCACCCACTGACCCCGCTGAGTTGGTACACAGGTAGTGTCAGTGCTTGGGAATCTGGAAGCCATATGGGAGGCCCAGGTACTGGACCTGTTAGCACAAATGTGTGTGCCTGTAATCCTGACAAATTGTGACTTAGTGAGATGCTGTCACAAAGACCTATCTCTGTCTCTCTCTCTTTCCACCTTCTCTATTCTTCTCCTTCTCTCATAAAGGAAACATAACAGCTATCCAGCTGAGGTGATTGATTTCACTACCACTTCAAACTCTATTCTTTTAGATTTTTAAATGATAAAATCTAAGGCAGGATGCATTTGAAAGTTTGGTCATTTTTGTCTTTCAGGATTGATATGTATGTAGAAGGGATGGCAGATTTGTATGAAATGATCCTTCTTCTGCCATTATGTCCACCTGACCAAAAAGATGCCAAGGTAGCTTTGATCAAAGAGAGGACAATAAACCGTTATTTTCCTGTCTTTGAAAAGGTAAGTAAAGTTATTCAGTGTTTTGGGGCACTGAGTTTGGAGGGCAACATAAAAATAACTCCTGGGCATTTATGGGGGCATTGACCTTCTCTTCCAATGAGCCTTCTAGAGTTCCAGTAGAGCACATTCATTCTCACAGCAGTTTGCAAAAACAGACTGTGACGAATAATTTCACCACTTATATCCAAGTTAAAAATGTCTAGCCAGGGACTAGCAAATGGAGTAATGGTTATGTCACTGGACTTCCACATGGCTGACTGTGGTTCGAGTCATGAAACCAGAGGCTTGAAACTCATGCCAGGTGTGTATGCGTGTGTGCCCAAAATCCCAAAAGGAGAATGGAGGAGAAGGGATTGAGGCATAGCTATCCCCCCTGGGGGGTGATTGCATGTTTTTTGTCTCTCTATTTCTCTTTATCTCTCTGGCATGTGCTTGTACCTTATACCAAAAATCTCTCTTTAAAAAAATGTCCAAATTTCACTTCACTAGATCCTAATCTAGAACTCTCTGTTCAACAGAATTTCATGATCATACATAGAATGTGAGATTTGGAAAGCTTTGGAGTCACACTGGAGATTGGACTTCATCTGGCAGAACATCACAGACTTATTTCAAGGGGATTAAGATGAAAACAATACATCAGAAAATATTCTGGCACCAGGAACCAGCAGTTAGTGTAATGGCTATGTCACTGGACTCCCACGTAGTTGACCGCGGTTCGCGTCCCGGACCCGGTGGCTTAAAACTCATGCTGGGCGCATGTGCGTGCATGCCCAAGATCCCAAGAAGAGAACGGAGGAGAAGGGATTGCAGCGTGACCATCCCCCCGGGGGGTGATTTCTCGCTTTCTGTCTCTATGTCTCTCTGTCTGTCTGGCGAGCGCACGTGCCCTATAGCAAAAATCTCTCAAAAAAAAAAAAAATTCTGGCGCCAAGTGCAGGGAGAATTAAGACCAGCTGTCCAAGAGGAGACTATTGTAATGTTTCAGGGATGGATTAGAAATATCTGAAAAAAAATGGATTAGGAATATCTGAAAAAGAATAGTGACAGTAGGATGGGGAGTAATAAATAGAATGAAGATATTCTGTAGAATTGAGGACATGCCTTTCAGACTTGAGAAAAGCCCACCAACTAAAGAAATAAAGTTACATAATTGGGGCCAGCAGGTGGCATAGTGGTTAAGTGTGCTAGACTCCCACATGGCTGGCCAAGGTTCGAGTCCTTGATCTGCTGGCTTTTTTTATCACTTTCCCTCTCTCTCTGTCTCTCTCTGGTCAAATTAAAATAAAGAACATAAATAAGTAAATAAAATAATTCTTAAAAGAAGTTCCACAATTATATATGGATTACATATCTTAGTTAATTTTTTTGAAGGTCAGAGAATATTTGAAGGTCATAACTACTTAAAAACATGCTAAATAATACTCTTAAGCCTAAAACGTGATTATTAAATATACAGAGGACTTAAAGATGAAAAGAAGACTAATACCTAAACATCTAATTTACAAGTGTTAGATCATTCTTTTATTAATTCAACAAATGTTAATTCATTGCATACTCTCCCTTATGCAAGAAGTAAAGAGTTTAAGAATACACAGGAAATGTACCTTCCTGCACCTTATTGTACTGGCAATTTAGTCACATTTGTATGATGTACCATGTGTTTTAAGTTATCTATACTATGAAATCAAAGAACCCAATCGTGGGACCAGCAGTTAGCGTAATGGCTATGTCGCTGGACTCCCACGTAGTCAACCAGGTTTCAAGTCCCGGACCCGGTGGCTTAAAACTCATGCCAGGCATGTGTGCGTGCATGCCCAAGATCCCGAGAGGAGAATGGAGGAGAAGGGATTGTGGCATGGCCATCCCCCCTGGGGGGTGATTTCTCGCTTTCTGTCTCTCTGTCTCTGTCTAGTGAGCGCACACGCCCTATAGCGAAAACCCTCTCAAAAAAAAAAAAAAAGAACCCAATCATAACATAAATGAACAAATATATATTACAATACAACACCTGATGTTATATTTTATGTACCAAATAGTTATTTATACTCCTATAGTCAGAAAGGATATTTGCCAAAATATATTTAGTTGATGGTATCATATATGATTTTATCCTTAATGATCACTATTTGCATATTATTGGATATTTTTATATTTTTATAAATGTCACATAATTTTCCAATATTTCATTATGAAAAAATAATTCTTTTTGGAGAGGTTTTTGCTATAGGGCATGTGCACTCGCCAGAAAGACAAAAGAGAGAGACAGAGACAGAAAGCGAGAAATCACCCCTAGGGGGGAAGGCCATGCCGCAATCCCTTCTCCTCCATTCTCCTCTGGACATCTTGGGCATGCATGCACACATGCCCAGCTTGAGTGTAAGCTACTGGGTCTGGGACTCAAACCATGGTCAACTACGTGGGAGTCCAGTGGCATAGCCATTACAGCAACTGCTGGTCCCTCATTATGAAAATTTTACACATCCAGAAAAAATGAAAGAAATGTGTAATGAACTGATGGACAAAAGGACTTTTAAAAGGCTTCTAGAAAATAGAATTAAAGTACAAGTTTCTTTATTTTTTAAATAATTAATTAATTTGTTTATTTATTTATTTATTTTATTTGAACAGAAAGAGAGAGAGAGGGAAAGTCAAAGAGCAAGCCACCAAGTCCAGGACTCAAACCACGGTCAGCCATATGGGAGTCTAGCGCCCTTAACCACCACACCACCTGCTGGCCCCAAGTACAAGTTTATTCTGGTGCAAAAATATTTATTTATTCATTTATTTATTTATTGCTTATGCCATAGAGTATGTATACTCACCAGAGAAAGAAAGAGGCAGATAGAGAGAAACTGAGAAATCACCTCCCAAGAGGGATGGCCATGCTACAATCCCTTCTTCTCCATTCTCCTCTTGGGATTTTGGGCATGCACATACATGCACCTGGCATGATTTTGAAACTGCCAGGTCTGGGAATCAAACTGCGGTCAGTCATGTGGGAGTTCAGTGCCTTTAAATCTATACATAATTTTTTCATAAAATATATTTTCTGTGAACTTTTTTTGGTGTGTGTGTAAGGTTTTTGTCATAGGGTGCATATGCTTGCCAGAGAGAAATAGAAACAGTAAGAGGGAAAGTGAGAAATCATCTCCTGGGTGGGGGGCGGGTGGCTATGCCACAATCTCTTTTCCTTCATTTTCCTCCTGGGATTCTGGGCATGTATGCGCACGTGCCTGGACTGATTCCTAAGCCACTGAGTCTGGGACTTGAACTACAGTCAGCCATGTGGAAGTTCAGCTCTGTAACCACCATGCCACCTGCTGGCCCTTTTCAAACATCCCTCCTATATCTAACAACTATTGATAGATAACAAAATTAATATCTTAGATGTTTACATTATCATGTGTCCAAGTCTCCGCCTCCTTCTCTATCAACCATCTTCTTTTTCATGTATTTATTTTTCTTTTATTTTTCATGTATTTCAAAGTAACTATCAGACCTCAGTGCCATTTACCTCTAGACACTGAAGTATGCAGATTATAACATAGTGTAAATTAGGAGTCAAAGGCAATGTTGTAAAAGAGGTGATGAATTAAAGTTCATCCAGACTTGTTTCAGATTCGATAGACACAGTCCAGGCAATAAGAACAGAAGGAGAAGCATACACTATGGAATAGTCTACTTACGGATGAGGAGTGCAGTCATCAAAGTGGAGTTGCTGCTGCCCAGAGAGATTGGAGAGAGAGCAGAGTACAGAGGCACCTCCTAAAATCACAAAGCTATACCTGTTAAGTCCTGGGGCCAACAGAAACATGCTGCCACAGGTCTAAGCCCTAACACTTTTCTCTCCTCCTGAATCAGGTGCCATTGAGAAAGGGTTGGGACTGTGCACGCACCCCCTGAGGGAGCAGAGGTGGAAGAGTCAGGCTGGAGAGGACTGGGAAGAAGCAGACGTCTAGTCTGACTGAGAGTGTGTTTCTGAATTGATTTCTCAAACTCTACAGGTGTTGAAGAGCCACGGACAAGACTACCTGGTGGGCAACAAGTTGAGCAAGGCTGATGTTTATTTGGTTGAACTTCTCTACATAGTAGAAGAGCTTGATCCCAGCCTCATCACCAGTTTTCCTCTGCTAAAGGTAATTTATCATCCAGCCCTCAGAGAGGCAGCCTCATGTCTTCCATCTTGAAATTTAATTTTTTTTTTGAGAGGTTTTTGCTATAGGGTACATGCACTCGCCAGACAGACAGAGAGAGACAGTGAGATAGAAAGCGAGAAATCACCCCCCAGGGGGGATGGCCACACCGCAATCCCTTCTCCTCCATTCTCCTCTTGGGATCTTGGGCACACACGCACACGTGCCTGGCGTGAGTTTAAGCCACCGGGCCCGGGATGTGAACTGTGGTCAACTACGTGGGAGTCCAGTGACATAGCCATTACGCTAACTGCTGGTCCCAGAATTTAATATTTAAACCCTGGAGCTGGTGACTTTCTGAACACAACTTTATTTAGGCCTTCACTCTCCTCTCCCTGACCGAGATCTCCACACTGAGCTTCCAGGCACTAGCCTAAGGCATGAAAAGAATCTTGTTATGTCAAGGAAATCTTATGTGGATGCTACTGCATTTTGACTCTTACATTGAGGATTCAGGACCCAGCCCCAATCACAATGTGTCTCTGTTTC